CTGTTTGTAGATTTTTCTGTATTTCTTCCTGTTGTCTGCTGGTACTCATTTTCCCTCAACTTGAAGAATTCCGTATAGTATTTCTTGTAGTAAAGGTCTGAGGGTTACATATTCTCCCAGATTTTTTGTCTGGAAATGTCTTCAATTCATCTTCCTTTTCAAAGGGTATTTATTACTGTTCATTAAATTCTAGGTTGGCAGTTACTTTCTTTTTGTGCTTTAACAATGTCATTCCATTATTTTGTTGCTTCTGTTGTTTCTATTGAAGAATCATCTATACAGCTGTTGTTCCCTTTCAAGGTGATAATGTCTTTTTCTTCTGGCTGCTTTTGTGATTTTCACTTTGTATTTTTGCTTCCAGCAATTTAATTATTCACATTTGAAAGTATAATTTTCTTTGTATTTATTCTGCTTGGGGTTCATAGAACTTCTTAAATCTGTGGCTTGAAATTTCATCAGTTTTAGAAAATTCTTAGCCTTTATCTCTCCAGATATAACTTTTATCCCATTCTCTCTTTTCTGTCCTCCAGAGAGATGCCAACTTTACAGGCATACCTTGGAGATATCAAGGGTTTGGTTCCAGACCACTGCAATAAATTGAGTATTGCAATAAAGTGAGTCACATGAATTTTTTGATTATGTCCAAAAAAATGTACATACTTTAATTTAAAAATACTTTATTGCTTAAAAAAATCCTAACCATCATCTGAGCCTTCAGTGAGTCATAATCGTTTCACTGGTGGAGGGTCTTGCCTCGATGTTGATGGCTGTTGACTGATCAGGGTGACGGTTGCTGAAGGCTGGAATGACTGTGGCAATTTCTTAAAATAAGACAACAGTGTTTGTGGCACCTCAAAACAACTACAGTCAAAGGTCACTGATCACAGATCACCATAACAAATATAATAATAATGAAAAAGTTTGAAATATTTCGAGAGTTACCAAAATGTATCACAGAGACAGAAGTGAGCAAACGCTGTTGGAAAAATGGCGCTGATCAGCTTGCTTGACGCAGGGCTGCCACAAACCTTCAGTTTGTGTAAAACGTGTTATCTGCGAAGTGTAATAAAGTGAAGCATAATCAAATGAGGTGTGCCTGCATGTATTTTTGAGCTTTTTTCTATGCCTCGTATGCCTCTTAAGCTTCTTTCTATATTTTCCATCCTTTTGTGTCTGTGCTTCAGTCTGAAGACCGTGCAGAGACACGCTTTATGTTCAGTAAACCTCTAGTCATCTGTGTTCAATTTGGTCTTAACTCCATGAATTGAGTTCTTCGTTTAGGTATTCTACTTTTTAGTTTAGAAATTCCAAATAATCATTATTATTAGATTCTAAGTCTCTGTTAAAATTCTCCATCTTGTCACCTATTTTCTTGAATATGTTCATCCAGTTCTTTTAAAATCTTTGTCTCCTAACTCAATGTCTGCATCGCTTAGTTTTCTCGTGTTTCTGTCTCCAGAAATGCCACATAATTTTTTACTGAATTCTGGACATTGCTTATAAAAACTCATAGAGTCTCTGGAAGATGTTTTCTTGCCCCAGAAAGGATTTACTTTTGCTTTTGGCAGGCAGTTAGGCAAGGGGCAGATCATTTTAACCCAATTAGCGATTGAGCTGATTTAATGCTGAGTTTCAGTCTTTTTAAAAGCCTTGTCTATTCCTGCTTCACTGTTATTTTTACAATGTAACCCTTCAAGGGTCCCAGTGAAAAGCCTGGGGGGTTTACTGGGCCTCTTCTCTTTGGTAGGCTCTGAGCTCCAATTTCTGTCTTCCCAGCCCCAGGAAACTGCCAGAAGTTCTGCTCAGCTCCTTAGCCACTTCCTGCT